TTTTGATATTTATCCACCAGTAACTTTAGAAAAATATCCTTTTTTAAAAGAAAATAAATACTTTGAATATGTTATAAACTTAACTCCATTTCAAATAAGAAAATTTGGAGAAAACAATATTATAATTTTAGACTTCACTTCTAATAAAGTACCTTTTAGAGTTTTTCTTACAAATGCCCAAATTAAAAAAGTAGAAGATGCAAAAAAACTCAAAAGAAAAGTTGATTTAAAATTCAGTAAAACTCAATTTAAAAAAACTTTGCCTTATGTTACTAAATTAAATCGTACTGTGATAAAGCAACGAAATAAAGATCAACTTGACACTTTAAAATCAGAAAATGCTAAGAAAGCAAGAAAATTAAAGAAATTAAAGCAACAATATCAACTTGAGGGTAAACAAGATAAAATTATTAAAAATACACTAAAAAAATATAATAAACCTAAACCTAAGAAAAGTATATGGGGTGCAATTAATCTTCCTAAAGCAAATATAATATAATTTTAATATTTAATCAAATATTAAAATCCACCACTAAAAAAATTAATATCACCAATTAAATAAAAATGACTACTTATTTTGAATACGGGGTAAAACTTACAGATGGGCAGAAATCAAAACTGGTTTCTGCAATAAGAAATAAATCACCACTAACTCTTCGATTAAAACATTCACATCTTCGAGGTTCTGATGAGTTAATGTTAACAAAAAGACAAATTTCTAAAATAAAAAAATCTATTGCAAATGGCACAGGATCAGGTATAAAGATAAGTAAAACTCAGATTAGAAAATCTGTAAAATACGGTGCAAACTTATTTTCATCACTTGCTTCTCTCGGAGCAAAAGTTCTTCCTTACGCAATAAAAGGAATTTCAAAAGCTGTTCCCGCATTAGCAACTGGTGCTGCTACTGCACTCGGAGAACTTGGAATAAATAAAATATTTGGAAAAGGAATCACAATCCCCCCAGAGTTTTTCCCAATGCTACCCGCTATTAGAGGAGAATTAACTAAATCACAAATTGATCTAATAAATAAAATGTTTCAATCTGGTGGACGAGTAGTTATCAAACCAACTCGTAAACAGGTAGAAGGAGGATTTTTAGGTACTCTTGCTTCTATTGGAATTCCAATGGCAATTAGTTTAGTATCTAAGATGTTTGGTGGGGGACTTCAGGTTGATAGACGTGGATCATCTAATACAGCAAATGTTTACGTTCCACCCACAGATGGTGGAGGTTATCCTTATCGCTCACCACCCTTTATTGGTACATGGTCCAACCCAATTGGAATGGGGGTTAAAAAAAAAAGTCCAAAGGCAAGGGTCTACTACTAGGAAAAAACAGCCCATTCAACTCAATTCCAATTCTCGGAACAATTTTATAATCAAACCTCTATCCAACTTTGACCTCTTGGATTGGATAAAAAGACTTGGTATTAAACATTTTAGTGTAATATACAGTAGGGATAGACTACCAAAAAAGATTAGAAAAGAATGCGAAATAATAAATCTAGATGATATGACTGGACCTGGAACACATTGGGTTTGTTATAGAAATATAGACAATGTACTCGGTAAACCGGTAGTTGAGTACTTCGATCCTTTTGGATTGATAATGCCAAATGAAGCATTAGAGTATTTTCATACTTCTGGAAAACGTATAGTTTACTCAATGGATGAAATACAAAATCGTAATACTGTTCTCTGTGGATATTGGTGTTTATAGTATTTGTTCGAGCGTCAACGTGGTACTAGTATTCTAGATGTAATACATAACCAACATTTTGATGATGACAACAGTGATTTTATAAAAGCTTATTTTGGAGGATAAATATAATATTTAATAAATATTATATTTTTAATTTTCTTCAACTGGTGTTTCCTTAAGCTTTTTAACCTTTTCAACTTTCGTATTTAAATCTCGAACACTATCAACTAAATCAATAAAATTTGAGTAAATGTCAATAAGACGATAAAGTTTCTTCTTTTTATCATTATTTAACTGCAACCAAGAATACTCCTCATTTCTTATTCTTTTCCACATATCACATTCAGCTGCAATTAGTACTCTAGAAAGATCATCATTTTCCTTTCTAAGTGTCTCCAACTCATTATATATTTTTTTCCTTACTTCCTTTTCAAAATCTTTTATTGTTTTAACATCCATCTTTTTCTCTATCTCAGAAAAGAATTTAGCTTCCATTTATTATATAAATAGATAATTACCTCTTACAGCTTTATTAAGAGTATTTGATTTCTCACTTATTTCCATTAACAACTCAAATACTTTTATAAATTTATTATCATTTTCCATTCTAGAATAATCTACATATTCATAACTCATATTTAGGTTATTATATATCTTTTGAAGTTCACTTTTAACAAAATTAGATCTAATAGACATATTTTATCTAAACATTATATTAAATGAAAGAATCATATTGCATTGTAGATAAAAGAGTAACTCCTTGCACAGAGCCAAGTGGTTACCAAACTGATAAAAGAGGGCGAACTCAATTCTTTTGTAGATGCGCAGTTTGTGGAAATAAAGAAGTTAGATATGTGAAAACTGGATCAGTTTCTCAAACTGGAAGTGGTAAAAAGAGAAAAACAAAAAAGAAGTAAAAAAACTAATTAGCCCGTCTGAAGGGGCGGGCGTCTTTGATACTGTTGTTGGTACAGCAGTTGATGGTTTTGTTCATTATGGTTTACCTTGGATGGGTAAGAAAGCAGTTGAAATGGGACGATATGGAGCAAGTGAGTTAATGTCCAATAAAGATCTTCAAAAGAAAGCTGTAAATTATGGGATTAATAAACTCACTCCATTTATTCAAGATTCTGTTGGAACAGCAATGGACCAGCTGTCAACAAAAGTGAGACCTAAAAAGAAATATAAAACTGACAGAAAAGACTTAGACGGCCGATCAGGAAGTGGAGTTGGTGGTAATATCTTTGAGGATATGGCTAAAAAATTAAACGACATTGTTTCAGACCCCCAAAAGTTTAAAGAATATCAACTAGACTTAGCTAATTATGCGTGGCAGCAAGCACAAATATTTGGATATAGGGGATCATTACAACAATTTTTAGCAGCACTCGGTTTAAGCCAAATTGGATCAGGTATTACTGATAAACTAACAAAAAGTGGAGTCGCTGGAAGTCCTTACCATATTGATTTTAAAACAGGCTTTAAACTACTCTCTGATCCAAATTTATGGAAAACACCAACCAAACAAGAAGACACTGATATGAAAAAACGTGTTGCTGCACTAAAACGGAGTTATGATGTTGTAAAAAGACTGGGTTTTAAGGGGTCATATACCAGCTTTGTAAAAAAAATTGGAGCTGTTGAAAAACCATCTTTCACATTTCCAGGATTTGGAGGCGCAATAGATATTCACAAGCAGATTGGTAAATTACCAATACCAAAAGGTTGGTTGACCTTACCAGGACATAAATATACTGGTCCTTATAATGATCTTGAAAACCAAGTAAGATATGATCCAAAAACTGGTAAAATATTAGAAATTTATGATCAACCAACTGGGCCAACCGATGCTGTAGCCATGCAGCATGATGTTGATTATAGTGTTTGTGGTGATGACCGAAAGTGTAAAAATAAAGCTGACAGAAAAATGGTAAAATCATTGGATGCAATTCCTTATAAAGATAGACAATGGGGTCATTGGTTGGCTAGAACAATAATTAATACTAAACAAAAACTTGGAATGGGAACAAAAAACGTAAAGCGGCGTTGAGTAGTGATTGGTCTCAACAATTAGCCGACGAACTTCACAAACCAATCACACGAAACTTTCAAAAGAGATCAGTAATCTCAAATGGGATTGATGAAATCTGGGCTGCTGATTTAGTTGAAATGCAAAAGTTTAGTAAGTGGAATAAAGGGATTAAATATCTTATGGCAGTTATTGATGTGTTTAGCAAGTATGGTTGGATTAAACCTCTAACTAACAAAAAAACTGAAACTGTTAGTAAAGCATTTGATGAAATATTTAAATCAAGTAAACGTAAACCTCAAATGTTATGGACTGATAAAGGTTCTGAGTTTATTAGTAAACATTTCAAAGATTTTCTTAAAAAAGAGAGAATCAGGTTGTATCACACTGAAAATGAAGAAAAATCTAGTGTTGTTGAGAGATGGAATAAAACAATGAAAAACAGAATGTGGAAGATGTTTACAGTTAATAACAACACTGTTTACTGGGATAAGTTAGATAAACTAGTTAATGATTACAACAACTCTAGACATTCTAGTATAAAAATGTCTCCTGTTGAAGCAAGTAAAAAGAAAAATAAAAAAATAGTTTTGTCTAATTTGTATGGCGATTTGATTTACTTAAAACCTGGTAAAACAAAATTTGTGGTTGGTGATCATGTTAGAATTTCTAAGTATAAAAGAAAGGTATTCGATAAAGGTTACACACCAAACTGGACAGAGGAGATATTTGTAATTGATAAAGTTTTACCAACAAAACCTATTACATATAACATTGTGGATTTGATGGGAGAAGAGATTAAAGGTTCTTTCTACGAGCAAGAACTACAAAAAGCAAAACAACAAACTTTTAGAATAGAAAAAATAATCAGGAGGGATAATAAGAAAAAAATGGCATTAGTAAAATGGAGTGGATATCCTGATAAATTTAACTCATGGGTTAGCTCAAAGGATTTGGTTGATTTTTAATACAAAATTTGTATTAAAAATAGTTATTTACTTAGTTTCTTCTTCATCAGATAAAAGTAAGTCATCATCTACTTGATCAGTTATCTCTTCACTATCACTATCACGATCACTATCTTCCTCTTCAATTGTTAGTAAAGCCTCTCTTGGTTTTAATGGTTTAACATAGCACTCGTGTACTTTTATTTGTAATGATGTTACAGTTTTACTTATAAATATTCCTTCAATTATTAATGCTAATTTAACATTACAGTATTGGTTAATATATTTAAAAGGATTTAAATCACGACCTCCCTTTCCCTTAAACAAAGATAATATCTTCTTTGATTTTTCTGAGTAAATAAGCGAAGTTTGCGTAAAGAACTGGCGCTGATGATTCATCAACTTTTGTTCTCTTTTTTCCTTTCTTGTCTGTGTATTCTATTTGTTTGTAGTAAAATAGTGAAGATAAAGTTGACGCTAGATCTGGTCCATATTCATTCTCTAAATGTTGCTGAGATAGAGTTACTACACTATTAATAACATCAAAAAATGCTTTTTCTTTACTATTAGGTTCACTATCGCGAGACCAAAGACATACTGGAATACTATAACCTACTAACTTGTTTGTTTCTTGGTTTTTCTTTTCACTAACACCAAAACTGAAAAGAACTGGAGATTCTAATACTAGTGCTCCTTTCTTTCCATTTGGATATTTGACTTCAATTGGAATTCGTTTGTATTTAATCTTGCTATCTTTGACTTTGTACTCTTTGGCTTCATTAAAGATAATATTCTCTTGGGTAATATTTTCGTAACTTGACAACTGCATTTTATTAATATTTATTTAATCTTTAAATCACAAATCAATTTTATTTATTTAATCTCATATTTCTAAAATCAATATCTTTAGGCCATAAAAGTTTTGTTGACCAATAGTTACTCGATTCTGGATTATTATGAGTTAACTCTCCCTGTTTGTTTTTAATCTTTGTAGCGCGAGTAAGATATTTATCTCTTCGCTCTTTATCTTTGTGAATAATGTAATCTGGATATTTTGGTGACCCAAAGTGAACATTCTTTCCACCTGGAAGTGTAGCCATATATTTGTTATTTTTTCGGGTTGAATAATCAAGTGATTCAGCACCAAGCTTTTTAGCATTTCTGGTTAATCTCTTAAACTCTGATCCAGTAACAACATATTTTTCGTTTGGAACATAATCTGGATCCTCATCATGTTTGTAACCATCATCAACTATAAAATCCAAATCCTCTTTTGTAGGAGTAGTTTCTCTCGATCTTGATTCCATTTTTTATTATTTGATTATACTAATCCTAATTCTTTTTATACTCTTGCTCTCTTCTGTATATTTCCTCATGTCCTATTTCTTTTACATCCTCTGGAGAATACATGTGAGTAAACATTAGGTATTTACAAAAAGGATCTAAAGGTTCATCATTTCCAAGAGCACTAATAACACCAGCAATAATCCACTTTGAAGAATCAACAATACCATCTAAATAATTGCAAAGATAATGTAATCCATATTTATCCTCTTCAACAGGAATTAGTTCTGGTTTTTTAATATGACCTAAACTATTTATTGTGCAATAATATCTATATAAATTTTTTACATAATTAAGTTTAACTTCATCTCCACTTTCCTTTAATTTTCTTAAAGCAGAAATATTGTTTTTTTTCTACTTTTCTCTTTCCAACCAACCTCAACTTTAAATCCCATATCTTCAAATTCTTTTAATAAAGTATCCATTTTATATTATCACTATATAAATTAAAAAAGAAAAATTTTTTTATAACTAAATGGTGACCACCAATACCTTTCTATTATTGAATAATTATCTTCATAATATTTTCTTACTACTTCTTTTACCCTAACAGAATTAGTATCACCTTCTTCTCGAATTTCTGGATCTGGATAAACTTTAAAAACTTTGAATAACTTATGATCTGGATCATCTTTAATTTTTTCTATTTTTTCCTCTAATGGATAACAAGTTGAATTAACATAAACTTGATTTTTAGGAAAATGAATTGAAAAAACTTTCTTACTCATTTCTATATATAATATTTTTTTATATTTAAATCATTTTAAAACTTGTAACAAAAATGTTATAAGTTTAGAAATCATCACTATCACTATCACTATCACTCTCAATATTACTAGAACTATTTTTAACTAAATTATTTAATATATTAACAAAATCTTCCATATCGCTATCTGTATATGAAAAATCTAAATTTTCACTATCACTATCACTAATGTAATTAACTTCTTTGTATATAATATTTAACTTACTAAAAAATATTTTGAAATCATCGTAAATTTTTTTGAACCCAGGATACGGATTAATAAAAGCTTCTTCATTCTCATAACATTCTTTACAAAAAATTATATACTGATTAAAATTATAAAAATTCTTTTCTATTTCAATTAAGTTATCAACATCATCCTCATAAATCTCAAAATTACTAATATCTTGAAATTTACCTTTTTCTTGTGCTCTCAAAAATCTTTTTATAGAATACTTAATTCCATCAACTCTGTGACTCTCAAATAATCCAGTAGTTGCATTATCAATGTTATCAACAAAATACTTAAATTCCTTATTTAATCCTCTAATAAATTGATACTCTCTTTTATACTCTCTTGCATATTCTGGGATTTTATTTGATTTAATAAAACTCTTAAATTCTGAATATGCTCCACTTAATTTATTAGGAATTAAACAATCATTTTCATCAGTGTATGTTTCTGGGGCAAAATAATAATATTCATTATTTTCATTAGGTGCGGGAGAGATTACCTTTTCCATACTACTGCGTTTCGCCGTTGTGTTTCGGGGAATCTTTCGCTTGACGTTTCTGCACTACGTCAGTGGCTTCCAATCCGTGCACACAAATCATTTCATCGCTGCGTGCTCTGTTCAAATTTCAGGCGACCCTTTTCAACTTCATTATTATTTTTTGCGTTTTGGCTTTTACCGTTTTTATACTGTGGGGGCGCTACCTAGACCGTGAGGTGAGAAAAACAATTCTAATAAGACATATTCATGTTTGTATTTCCATTACGTGATCTATAGTCACAGATGTTCTCGTAACTTTTAGATATTTCACTTTCCCTAAGTAATCGTTTTACAAATATGTGAAACAAAATTAGGTAACAATCAACAAGGACCAAAAATTTTTAAACCTCTTAAAGTAATGCACTAATGACTTTATGGTTTCGTGTTTTAATCACATTATTTAAGTTTACAGGAAAGCATCTGAAGTTTCTTCAGCAGAAAACTGTCTAATTTCGTAATGAGTTTTAGTTGACAGGGGTGCTACTTCCTGAATTCAGTGCGGTTGTCAGGTCTTTGAGGGTTTACTAAGACATCAGTGGAAGGGAGTTCTGCTTTTCATTCGCATAATCCTTATTATGCTAATTTAGCTCACAGTCAGTTTCTCAGAAACAAAAGTTGAATCGGGTAGATACGTCTCAACACAAAAAGTAAGCTATACTTGTTCACTCCATGGGCCTGTTTACATGGAGTGGGGGACCCCGGTCTAGTGGGGTTGGTTTCTTACCCCACTATACCGGGGTCCCCCAGTCCATGCATACAATCAGTGATGCTGAACCGAATGACTTGCCAGACAACAGACAATTCATGGAGAGGGGAGAGCATTAAAATCGATATTTCAATTAGTGCTTTAAACAATGAAAATCGCCAAGAAGAATTATTTACCGGCCGCAGTTCGGTGTTTATAAACGAATAAGTGATGTAAGAAAAGATGTCGAGACTAATTCATTTTCCCATAGAGTGAACTACATTATATGAATACATATGCAAAGGTTGGGGGCGAGGCGGGTTGGAAGATTTGAAAAACAATATCCTACAGCCTCCCAAGCAAAGAAACTGAATTACAATGCATGACCAGCTCTAACGAAAAAAAATCATGTATGCATGGTGCATCCAAAAACAAGTCTGGCAAATCATGGACAGTCCATCGCTACGAGTAGGAAATCTGAGTCATTTATATACCAGCTATGCCGGCTTTATTCAATAAAGCAAGGTTGTCTCAAACACTGAGGAGTTCACTGAGTTTATCGTGCCTTTTAATAAAGAGTTAAGTTATTGCATTTTTTAGGTTTCTGCGTCCGTGTTTACGAGCATTCGGTTTTCGATTTTTAACCAAATTTCGAAGCGGAAAATGAAAATTACCGCTAAGGGGAATTATTTACCGGCCGCTGTTCGGTTTTTACCGACAATTTGTTTATAAACGAATAAGTGATATAACAAAAGATGTCAATACTAATTCATTTTCCCTTGGAGTGATCTACATTATATGAATACATATGCAGAGGTAAAAAGCTTTTACTCGAGATTCACGCACTAGGCGATCATCGGACCAAAAACTAAATACTACTATGCATAGACAGGTTTCATTTGGTATACCAATAAAAGGTGTTTCGTTAAAAGTTTTTTAGAACCCATACAGATATTTTTCAATCGCTTTAAAAGTGATATTATCCTTGTCTGATCGCTATAAAATTTTCAACAGTGATTGACTACAAATCGAAATTTTTCAAAATGTAGGTTTTAGTAAAATCGAAATTACTATGACAACAATAAACAAACAACTTTGAAATTGATAAAAGCCGAATTTTGGGCGATCTAGACCAGCTACTGAAAATCCAACACTAGGAACATAAAGTTTGATGTAAATAACTTCCGTAAGAAGTAAAAAATTCTTTGTTTGAGTTCGACTATCGGACCGAACACTTAATATGCATAGACAGGTTTCATTTGATATACCAATTTATAAAATAACTAACATAGTACGCGCGCCCTGATTGGCTGAGAGGAGTGTTTGCATGAGAGTATGTAAACATGTGTAAGGATGTTTGGCTTTTCGCGCGCTAATCGCGCAAGCACGAATTTGAAAAAGTTTTCAAGTTCGAAACTCGACAAGTTTACTTTATTTACCGATTCCTTCGTCGGCTGAAACTTGGAAAATCGTTACAAAGAAAGTGTGTCAATTTTTTTCTGCTTAAGGTGACATTTTAACCGAGAAAAGTCCTTATTTTGGAAAGCATCTCTGGCCGAATTTTTGAAAACGTGCCTCAAAATGCACCAAAATATTCGCACAGAAAGCTGGCGATAGCCAGCTTTCTGGTCACTGCGGTGAGAAAAAACGTAGGGGGCTTGCTGTCCTGCTTGGTCTCATTGTCAAGTTCAGTCCCTGAGCTAACTCGCCATGGGTTGGAAAGGGGCCTCCATGTGATGCCCCTGGTAACTTCTCCACTGCGTCCACAGACAAGTACAAAAAATGCTGGAGACAAGCACAATACCTGAGTAACATCTTTTGGAGAAGATGGGTAGATGAATACTTGTTATCTCTTCAAGAAAGGCAGAAGTGGATTCGCCCGCGCCGGAATGTAGCTGTTGGAGATTTGGTTCTCATAGCTGATGAGCACAGTCCGCGTGGACAGTGGCCAATGGGTGTTGTTGAAGAAGTTACACCAGATCGCTATGGTGCAGTGCGACAAGCTACAGTTAGAACCGCCAGAGCAATTTTGAAGCGAGATATTAGAAAGATATGCTTGCTGCTGGAAGCTGCCGATAATTAATCCCAGCTGTTGACACAATGTAACTTGTAAGGACAGACAGACCTCTTCGAGGTTTTGGACAAAAAGGAGCCAGTTGCTGGAAAGGAAGTTCCCTGATTGCAGTGATCACTTAGCTCATAAATACGTTGCGAACTGTGTAAAGCAATTAAGATGTTAATTGTAGATAAGGTTTTTGAATATTCTAAATAAGTTTCGTTTACTAGTTTCGCTTAGTTTTCTTAAGAAAGGCAAGGCTTGAATGCCCGTCTGCCTTTCGAGGCCGGTGTGTTAAAGCGAAACTTCTAGAACTTAGGGTTTTCTTTGTTTTTTTTGTTCGCGTCTACTTGCAATTAGTTGTAATTGTTTATAGTTTTCTTTCGTTATATTGTTTACTTTCTTTTTGGTGTCACCATCGTTGCGTAATGTTACGCAATCTGTCAAGTTTTTTGGTATAAACTTAGTCTTGTCGGTCAGTGTTTTTTACAATTTTTATCGGTCAAGAACAACTCATTCCTTTTAACGTTAAGTCAAGAAACCGTTAAGGTAAATTTTAGTCATACGCCATTTGTACGCTTTTCCGTTTTCTTTGATGCATTTGTTATTTTGTACTGATTTCTACATTTTTCGTAATTTCGTATTCTTTGTATTTTTGGTTGTACAGTACCGTAGGAGTGTGATGTATAAAATAAAGCGGTTGG